AGCTTTTCGAGGAAAGAGTGATCAACTGCCTTACCTGCGGGTGATTGCTGTTAGCACGTGCTACCACACAGGCTACTTCTGAGCGTCTCCATCTCTCACAGAGCGCGAATGTAGCCGTTTTTGGCTTTTGGCTACTGATAAGATTGTCATGAGTTCTACAGCTTCAGTGACACTTGTGTTTATGTAACGCGCAGTATTTAGAAAATGGGGTAAAATAATAAAGATTTTGATCAGGGATGAAACATACTTCAAAATCACACATAGTGACACGCGGGAAGTTACCACTTACTTCCCATTCACGCCCATTGAGCAAATCTTTGAGTATATGAAAGCCATAAAATAGATTGTCGGTACCGAGAAAAGTGTTTAACAGAAATATCTGCCCAACAACGTTGATCAAATACAATGTTTTGATGAAAACATACAAGCAGGTAACGTACGAACTCCATCGCTTCCCGACACACATCCCTGACACATCAGTTACCTGAAATTTTTCACATATTAAAAACTTAATTTAAAATAAGTGTTAGTTACAACTGAAATTTTAATTCTTTTTATGAATTTTCATGGTTCCGGAATTCTAAAATGGGGCCTGAGAAATAAGAAACTAGCTGGACTCTAGCAAAATAAGTAAAGCTAACGGATTTTTATACTCGATGAGAAATAAAAAAAGATAATGCCCATGATGTGAAGCACTCCGGCGATACATCACTGAGGAATGCAACAGTAGGCGAAAGGCAATGGCGATTTACAAGAAGCAGAGCCTAAGAAAGTGCTATTGCACTATTTCACGACGGTGGTACTTGAAAATGCAAGCGCAGTCAAAAGCTCAGAGGCACTAGGGGCATATGTAAGAATTTTACACAAATTAGTTCACTTCACGTATCGACATTCTAGCACCCTCATCTATGCTATCAATTTAGCTTATTCTCTCCTCTGTTCATCAGCGAGGTAAGCCATCACTGCCATGGACCTTTCCACTTCCAGATGATTTTATAGCTTTCGCTCATCTTCTTGACAACTAATGAGCGTCACATATTAATAATGGGCTCATAAAAAAGCAAATGCCAAGTGACGGCAGCCGAACAGTGGTACATAAAAGTTAGACTGGCAAGTGGTGGTTTTTAAAAGAAAAAAAAAGATCCTGCCACTTGACAGAGGCACTATTAGAATTTCTCAAGTACGGTACCGATGTTTTGTCTGTGTAAGCCAAAAATCAGTGCTTGGGTGCCTTCGTTACGGTCCTCAAAAACTAGACTGGGAAATCACGCTGTCCACAGAGCTGCTGTTCTAGTAAATAGTATATGCAAGTCAACTTAGACAACAGGGTTTTGAGTGCATGCAGGGTTTTAATTTAAAATGGCAAGAGGTCTTTCAAACAGCTTAAAATGGCGTTTTTCCGATAAAATTTAATTCCTTGTTCCACGCAGTGTTTTCGTCAGCTTTTTCCACTTACATACAAATCGTTTCCCTATGGTTTGTTTAAAATTTTCTTCCGCATGCTCTCCTTGAGCTGCATACCGTCCTAGTAATTTTTTATGTCGCATACCCACTGCAGTTCCGCATCATACCTCTCTCTGTATCTCCAAGGCATCTTCCATATGTCCGGCAATGGTCTGTACCGTGGCAGCTCTCGCATCCGCATCCATCATTCTTGCGTCACAAGCCATTTGTGTGAGACTTTGTACATTTATCCCTGAATTAAGCAACGTACACTCTCTGACTATATACATTAGATGACTGTTTTTGTATTACATTGTTTCTGGATCCAATTCAGTCCAATCTTGATTTTTTCGGACAAAGAGTTGGTCTGAGGTCAGATAATTTGAGCCTGATCCGAAAAGGACTCAAGACAGCCTCAGTGATCCAATT